GAAGTTCACAATTACGTTTCGAATGTTCGAAGTTCAGAACAAACTTCGAAAGTCAAGATCGTAAATTTGAGTCACGAAGCATTAAAATATAGAAATAAGGTACTTTGAGTAAAACCTTAATTGAACTTTCTTATATACTTTAGATAGTTGCTGAAACAATCTACTATAAACTTGCATATCTGTTATACTTTGTTGAAAAGTTCTGTTATATGTAAATGAGATTGCTGAGCCCGGCTGACTTTTAACGTTTAATATTTAATTAGCTATTTTTTAGCCTTACTTTTCAATTTCTTTTTCTGCTTGGTACGAACAATGGCTTTTCGCTCTGAGCGCACTCTATCAGCTAATTGGCGGTGAGTAAATGTTTCCAACAAATGGGAGAGCCCAGGTGTCTTTTGCAAGGTTTCTATCACTTTTTTCATAACAACGGGTTTGGACGAGTGAAGGAGCTTTGAAAAGGTTTTAGTAAATAAGTGTTCTTCTTCTATGGTTAGAAGTGACGTCAATGTCCGTTTAGAACTATGCACCGATGGAGCATACTCGCTGTCACAAGTTTTAGGAAGATCTTCATCTGGGTTGTTTGTAATTTCTAAAATATAAGTGTTAGTTCAATTATTCAAGGGAAAATGTACATATAAAATTTCTATAATAATCCTACTTATTACAGTTAGTGTACATACCACTTCCTTTGCTAATATCATTGTCTTGTGAAACTGAATCTGTAATATCTGTAAGAGAAATCAGATGGGAACTTTTTTAGAGTATACTAGAAATTGCAAAGATATACCACTAGGTATCATACTCAATTGAGTCTCACTGCATTGATCTTTAAATTTTAGAAAAGTATCCCTGGGACAAGTATTTGTTCATCCCTTTAGAGCTTCCTTTTGATCAAGTATAACTAACCTAGATATTTCATGTAAACAGATGATCTTATCATCAATTCCCAAAAAAGTTTTAACATACCATTGTTAACATTTGGTTGTATTAGACCAGCACGCTCCATACGCTCTTGACAAGATTCCATTTCACCCGGCAAGGATGGTGACTTCTCACTTCCCGATTCATCTGTCCCAAAGTATGAGCGAATTTTGTCACAAATTTTTTTCGGGATATACATCGTAGAATAGGTATTCCTTTAGTGATTTCTTTAACCTGCCTTAACGTTATTGACTTCCGCTTTATATGTTCAGAAAACGCAGATCCTAATTCCAAAATTTCACTTGGTGTCCATTTGTGCCTTTGTTCTGGATTTTCCACCTGAAGAGTGTCTGTGTTTTCTTCCATATTAGCTTGACCAGATGACCTCATTATCTTTGCCAGTTCATTTGAAGTTCTTACAGCAGATTTCCCTTTATTTTTTAAGAGATAGTAACGATCAGCTGTTGATTGCTTATGAACCATAAGGTCCGCTAAGTCCCCACGTAAATCCTCATTCTGCTCATGAACTGCGGATACAGCAGCTTTTCTGAAGGCAGTTGCTCCTCCCATAGACGTTTCTTTCTCAAAAACTTTCCCCCAACACGATCCCATCTGGGCACCAACTTGCGATGACTTCATTTTCTTTTGGTTAGAAGTTAAAAAAACTGGCGAATCTTTATCTGTGTTAACATCTGCCAAACGATTTCTGAATTTCTGAATGTAAATTTTAGTATATCTGTAAAGAGATGCATTAAAAATAACATTCACAGGGCCATGAGAAGATAGTGTCTTGTGGTCCCGCACTCTCACAATGAAACTTTCATCCTCTTTCGTGGATCTTTTAAACTCACCAAGAGTCATGTTTGCTAGTGTTCCAGATCTGCTGCCATTGTTGATACACAGGACAGTTAAGAGGTAGTCTCTTACAGCAGTATACTCAGGCTGGCTTGGTGGTTCTTCTTTATCTTGGTATTCTCCAAGCAGACGAATGGCCTCCCTAGCAACTTCCGAAGTGTCAAATTGTTGAATTTGCTGGGGGGTTCTTATTGCCTCAATGTCATCCATGCGTTTTTCCCAAAAACGTTGCTTGCTTTGTTTTCTGAATGACCTAGCCCATAGTCTCACTTGGTCTGAAAGACTGGTTAACCTTTCTACTGAAGTATTGACATCTATATTTTCGCATTTTAAAAACCCATAAAATTGATTCAATGAACCAAGATATGATTTCACAGTTCCAGGCTGTTTTTCATGGTCAAATTTATTTAGCCAATTTTCACGGAGTGTTGTTTTATGCAAAATATTGTTTAAAGATGGGTTTGAACTATCGATATAATTGACAACTAATTTGACTTGTCTTCTGCATTGTACTGCAGAACGATAATTTTTTTTCCCACCATCTGCCCCTTTTAACCAATATTCAAATTTGTCAAAAATCTTTTGCAAGCTCTCATCGAAAACCACAGGAGTAATTGTGTTCTCACGAAGTTGTGCTTCATCAACGCTTATTTCAGAATTTCTGGATCCTTCGTCACTGCTTCCTCCACTATTATAAACAGTATCGTATAGACTAGGAGAGTGCATGGCATGGGATTCGCTTTTTGTTTTTTTTGCTGGAGGCCTGTACATCTGCGAAGATGAAACACTGCCATCACTGCTAAATGATTCAAATGACTCAGCTAAACTTAGGGCTTCCACATCATGACATACAGCATTTTGTAGGCATTTCTTATAGAATTTGCTGCCTCTCTTAATCCCATGTACATCAGTTAAATGGTTGTGAATTCTTTTAACAATTGAAGTACATTCGTCAATTGGACAAATAACACTTTTATAAACACGTTTTGTTTTCCTTTTTGATTCAGCTTTTTGCTTTCTTAGACTAAACGAATTTAGAACAGAGTGGGCTTTTCTGGGGCTCCATCCATGACATTTCCTCATGTGCCGTGGGAGATGGACGACTGAAGAATGGCAATCAGGAAAAGGGCATGTATGTTTAGGTCTCCCCTTCTTACATGACCCTTTATGTGGGGATGACGAAGATTTGTGAGAGCGCTTCTCACTCTCAGTGGGTGCGGATGATGTACATTGCTCCGGTTCCATTACTCCTATAAAGAGTAGAAGATTTGTGAAAGAAATAACTAAATTGTGGAAATTTGTGTACAAGTTTAAGGTAACTAGGAAATAAAAATATACTAGTCATCACTTTGTGCAAAAATATTCATTTAAATTTTTCCATTTTTACCTTCTCACAGTGCTCTGAACTGAGTTGTTTCGGGAACTAACTATACTTATTAAATATTTTTCTTCTAACGGTTATGTGAATGAACAAATTAACATACCAGGTTTAGGTTATCACATTTTTGCTCTGTATTTTCTGGCTTTATGGCAACGTTTTCATTCAGTAACTCTTCAATATCATTCAAAAATCTATTCACCTCATCCTTGCAAGTAGATTTTAACTAAAAAATGGACAAAATATTCTTGGATGTCAATGCTCTCTTAATCAGGCTCTTAGTCTGGAAGAAGTTTTTACAGTGAAAAAGGCAATTGAATAACTGAGTATTTTTAGAATATAACAGAATCAGTTGTACAGAACTTTACAATATTTTTCAAAAAGGTGCTGAAGTAAATAACTACAATGAATCAAACAAGCTTTTATTTCACAACATACCAGTTCAGGTATTTCAATCATAATTTGAACCTTTCTTTCATTTTCAATGTCTTCCCAATCATCTGAATATTTACCGTCAGCATCCTAAGAAATCAACACAGTTTCTGAACTCATATGAGGTCAAACTATGTTTGAAAGCAATGAAAAATAAATTACATAATCCTAACAAGTTTAGACCACTTAATCATCAACATTCAGTTGTATAAAACCCTGCTCATATTCAGCATTGTATGATTTATGGCGGCGATGAATACTCACATTTACCACATTAGCGATTTTCAACAAAAGAGCCAATATCTGGTGCCTATTGCTCCAATCTTTTTTGAAAGAAAAATTCGCATTAAAACACGAAATCCCTTTACCACTCATTGGTACCTGTAATTATAACAACAATATCACCATGACTAAACTGCTATAATTGCCATACTTTTTGGACCAGGAACTGGTCCCTAACCGCTGCTAATCTTGTTGTTGTTGTTTTTGTTGTTGTTGTTAAAGGGCGACGCTCTTTAAAAAAACCCTTAGGCTCTAGCATTACTTGTTTGATCGGAATGAAACTTGGCACAATTATTGTAAGCAATATTCCGCATCGATTGACCGAGTTGGAATTTTTACTTTTGACCTTTGAAGCAAGTTACAAGCAATTCTTGATATATTTGCAGCAAATAATATATACATATCATTAATATTCAGCCTATATACAGGGTGTCCCAAAAAAAACGAAAACTATTGAAATCACCCATAACAATGCAATTGTTAGAGTTTGAATGCCTAAGCACTCTGTTGGGCCCACAAGTGTATAAATCGGGGTTGCCATAAGCATTTTTATGCATGCATATGATGCAGTCAAATTAGCTTGTTCGCAAAAAGGATATTTATCAACAATATTTACAATTTACAAATATGGATGTCCTTCGACATGTCCCCTTTCTCTAGCAACACAAAGCATTTAGCATTTTATAAGTTGCATTAAACCCCCACGGGCTGAAATTCGTGCACACGGCATTCAAATTTTAACAATGAGTGATTTCAATAGTTTTCGTTTTTTTTGGGACACCCTGTATAAGTAAACGGAAACGATTAGAAATACATTGTCCTCTCCAATGTTATAAATACAATGCAGTTCAGAAATTAAACTCGGTTATGCAGTTCCTCGTCCACTACAGGGTGTCCCAAAAAAAACGAAAACTATTGAAATCACCCATAACAATGCCATTGTTAGAGTTTGAATGCCTAAGCACTCTGTTGGGCCCACAAGTGTATAAATCGGGGTTGCCATAAGCATTTTTATGCATGCATATGATGCAGTCAAATTTGCTTGTTCGCAAAAATGATATTTATTAACAATATTTACGATTTACAAATATGGATAACAATATTTAAATGTGCATCTCACTGAAAAACCATGACCTTCGACATGTCCCCTTTCTCTAGCAACACAAAGCATTTAGCATTTTATAAGTTGCATTAAATCCCCACGGGCTGAAATTCGTGAACACGACATTCAAATTTTAACAATGAGTGATTTCAATAGTTTTCGTTTTTTTTGGGACACCCTGTATAGTACGATCGTACTTGTTACAGTCACTCAAAGCATATACGCAAGGGCCTGATTAATTTAAAAACAAAATAGACAGACGAAAGTTAAATTAAAAAAAACGTTAACCTGTTTGATTGAATATAACTTCAAATTATGGCATATTAAGTAATAATTTTATACGTATTTTGCAAACCAAAAGAGCACAATATACATTTCAAAAATTAACAAAAAATATCCGCCTAAAACCGCTACCGGGCTTGCCCGCCTCATGTGAATCAGAAAATAAACTGGCCCGGCAAATAGCAACTTAAACCTTTTTAAAATTCACGGGCGTATTGCCTTAACTGGACTCTCTAAATTTATTGCGTGCTTTTGGCGTGCTAAGAAAGGGAAATGTAATGACATAATTAGCGTATATAATGATCAGAACTATGTTTAGTAGCAATCTTTATAACTTAACTTTTAAAATTTCAACTTTTCCATGCACACACATACCAATTAATTAAATCTCAATTACAGTTAAAGACGCATGGTAAAGCATGTGCTAATTGACGTCAAGTCACAATTCAATACTCAATTCACAAACTGCATCTCAGGGCAGTATTATATAACCTATGATGCATAATTTAGTATAAAAGACATATACATAGGTACCCAAAGTGTTGAAACAAGAATTCGACAAGTATAAATAGTAACTAACTTTCGTATATACCATGCAAGCTACGTAAATCACGCAAATTTGAAGAATATACTGGAGTTATATCATATAAATTATGCATTGAAAATCGATAATTGTAAAATAGCGCAAATTACTAGCATGTGAATAAATAAAGATGATGAAATAAACAAAACTATTATACATGTATACTCACTTTGACTTGCAATCAGGATAGCTTCTCTTTCAGATGAGTTAGAATGCTCCAATTAAATAAGCTGTTAAATAATCCAAGGTTTCCAACACACAATTTTATGTACTCATATAGATCTACATTAAAGAACTGAAATAAACAAAAATTTAACGGGATTTTATAGGCAAGATCTGCAAACTAATGCTTACGTAACGGATTTAATGAAACTACCACAAATTGCGTATTTACTGCTGAAACATTCTTCTAGCTTTTGAATGGTCAACCAACCTACGCAATTGACCAGGAACCGAAAATAACGGACATGTTATTGATGCTTAATAAAACTGTTAAATGAAATAACAATCTAGTGCATGGGATATAGGGAGGCGATAGCGCATACGGGCATATATGCTCTAGGTTGAGGGGCTGTTAATTTTGGTGTTCGATGTGACCTAACACGAACTAGCAACAAAAAGAACTAATTTGCTTCTTTTTTTAGGTTTACTGTATGCTAATATCTGTTTTAAATCCTTATAGGACAAATATTTCTACTCCTTACTTACAAAGGTCAACATAAATACAATAAGTGCGCCGAAATTTCATTAGGTCATTGCAAGTGCATAAAATTGTACATTGTACAAAACAGCAGAGTGCGGAAAAATCTAAAATCAAACGAATCATCAACTGCGTATTTGCGGAGCTATGTTTACCAGCAATGTAAATTTATAAAGATTTAACTTTTCCGTGCATACACGCACGTATAGAAATGTCTATACCATTTTAAATTACAGATAAGACGCAGGGTCAAGGATGTGCTAATTGATTGTATGTCGCAGGCTTATATTTACAAATTACAAACTACGCGTCTTCTCCCTCCTGTGGTTTATGTAAATACGTTTAAAGTTTGCAAACACAGTTAAATTTACTAATATATAAGCATTATAAATGTTAAAACAAATATTTAACAAATAGAAACTGAATTTTGTGTTAGCTTATGTGCACAAATATAATAATAAACAATTAACAAGTCATTAATTAACATAGGCTTGGTAATGTGTTAAAAGCGGCATCCTGTTTAAAATAGATTTTAGCAATTCATTTAGCGTGGGCTACCACAATTTGCGTATTTCGCTATACAGCTATGTTATTTACGATGGGTAACCAGCTAACTTATGCAACTGATTGGAACTTATAACTAGCTATAGGAACAGAAAATAACAAACTTGTTTATTCTTCATTCAAAGATATTAGCTACATTTCGGAAATGAACTCTTTTCCAACTACCATAGTTTTAGACTACCTTATAGACTTAGTATGCCCTACTAAAACATATTTGTGTGTAATTAAGATAATCAAGTCACGCATTTAATCGGAGCTTTTAGCTAACAGCGCAAAATAGCAAACAGGTTTGCTTGTTGTGGAATTTAGTTAACGCATGGTTGAGCACACCAATCATACGTAAATAGTCATTTACATAGTATGCGCAGAGATAGTGTTACGCCATAAATTGTATATGTATTGTTAAAGGAATTGTTTTGTAATGTTAATAGTACAGTGTAGTATAATAATTATAACATAGGAAATGAAGGTTCGAGGTAGCACATTGTAGCAACCGGGAAACCAATAATAACGTAAACGGACGCAAATGTGGGTTGCAGTGGAGCAAAAACCACAGAAAAACATCCTGTGGTTCGGTAAAAGATGCGTCAGGGAAATGCATCATTGTTTGGTTAAAAGTATTGTTGTAAGTTAGTTGTGTATTAGAGCGAGAATTGTCGTGAAGTGTTGATTGCTGAATAAATGTAAAATTATATACAGTCCCAGTGTGCGAGATTTTGGACCAGCGAAGCGGAAAATCAGACTTGTTCGGAGATTTTCAACATTGCTTGAAATTTGAACACGTACTGTACAGTACTTAGGTGTTTTCTATATTTTAACGCTATTGGTTTGGTCCTAATATCCAAATTGTGTGCCATAAATATGTTGTTATCACTTACTAAGGTCCACATTATCCATACTGAAATTACATGTTATATGTTTTCCGACCGAATTAAAGCCAGATACAAAGTATCTCAAACCTAAATCCTATACACGAGTACATTACTTACACAGGGAGAAAGAGCTTATAAACATAAATAAAACAAAATAATACTCCCTGACCATAGAGTGAAGACTAGTCAATAAGCAGGTGGCTGAAAAACAAAAAAACTGTTATAGCAGAATTCTGCTACACAATATTCAGATCAAACATTAAGCCCTAATTTTCTTAAATACTACCAACACCAAAGTTGCTTTGTTGCAACTGAGTTATATAAAACAAGTACTCCCAGGTATAGGAGGCAAGTGTGCTTTAGAAAAATTAAAACTAAGTTGATATAAATATAAAGTACAACCAGTCAAAATTTACTAAAAGGCAAAAATATTATAGAACATTCCTAACCTAGTCTAAGACCACTAAGAGATAATACTAAAATTTGATGTGACATGCTAATAAAACCCCTCTCCACAGAATCAAAAGACTGCTGCTGGGTTGATATGCATACATACACTAGTATCAGCCCATATTTACTTTCTAAAGACTGATTACATGTTATGACCACCCTACAAGTTATCAAAATCATAAAGTTTAATAAAACAGGGCATCAATATTTTACTGTAGCCACAGCAAGCAAGCTGTTCTCCAAGAATGTATTGCTCCATAGAATAAGGGGTTGTTGTAGGATTGATATACACTTATAGGTATACTAGAATATGTATCTACTCTTTAATATACAAATATAATTCTTTTAGGTACATCAGCCCTTTATTTTCACCCCTTTATTTCTCAAGACTGATGGCATGCTATGACCAAACTAGAAATTAACAATATCATACAAGTTACCCCCAGATTAATGGCAACCCCATAACTTATTAAAACAGGTCACTACTATTCTGTAGTAGCCACATCAAATGAGCTGTGCACAAGCAAGAAATCCCTTCCACAGAATATATTATTTATATTATTTGCTTTTTTATGTACACTGTACCTAAGACCCTTATTTACTTTCTAGAGGTCGTTTGCAGGTTATATTAATAGCCATAATACAATTCAACAAAAGAAGTCATTATCACCCTAATGTATCTACAGCTTGTTGTTCTTACAGCAATTAGTTAATAACATGCAGAAACTTCCCCCGGCATAGAATATAAGGGCTGCTATTTGGATTAATATCAATAACATGCACAAATATACTAGTTGTATCCTCACTTAGCAATACAAACCAACTTTTTAATGCATATCAGATCCTTATTTACTTTCTAGAAATTAATTGCACTATAGGCAATGACCACCAGTACAATTTATCAAAATTAACACATCATTACCATTATCAGGTTGATATGAATGATATGCACAAATGTACTAGCATATTCTCACTCAATTATAAAAACATATGTAACCTTTTAAAGTATATCAGAGTAATCAGACCCTTATTTAATTTTTAGAGACTGATCACAGGTTATTGAGCAATGTGGTGAGAGCAAGCAAACTGTTCTTCCAGCAATTTATTAATAACATGCAGACAAGCAAGAACTTCCCATTCCATGGAATACAGTAATACAATTATACACACAAAATTCTTAAGTATGTATTGGCTGTGCCAAATTCAACCAGAGGGGTATGTTATAATTATTTGGCCTCCTTACTTTGAAACTGCCAAGCCTAAAAACTAGCACTTAACATAAACAACCAGATTACTGAATAAAATGGCCAATTTAAAACAGGTCTTTGATTCCTCTGCTACAGTAAAGAAAACAGAGGTTATGATAACAATATCATATTTGGCTTATTTACTCAGTTATCCTCCAACCTTGAAAACAAACAGCAAATATAAATCCCGTAATCTAACTGTTCAAGCTATTTTATTTGCTGTAAATTAGTTAGTTAATAAGGTGTGTTATTAAACTCACTCTTAAAGGTAAAATACGGAGAAAAAATAATATTTTCTAACCTTTCATGGACAAAATATCCTAAAATCGCTGAAACCTTTTTACAAATGTCCAAAATAGAGCAAAATAAACACTATGTGATCCTTATTAATCCCAAAATACCCTATAAAACAGCTTGAAAAATCGGGCATCTCCCCCCTTAAGATTGTCAGGAAAATAGGGGGTGTTTTCTAAAAACCTGGAAAAAATATTTTCTAGACATGAAAAAAATTATTTCTTTAGTATATTCTGCAATATTATACATTTTATTCATTCCAATTGAAGAAATAAATATATACCTTTTCGCTAATATAAAAATGGCATTATCCCGACGTGAACTTCAAATGCTTTAAAAATTGCCGTTTGGCATTATTTTATTCCCGTTTTTGTATTTTGAGATAGTTAAACACTAGTAAACTGTGCACAGAGGAGTTATAGCTCAATTCTCCCATCTATATCTATATATCTATATATCTATATATCTATATATCTATATTATCTATATTATCTATATTATCTATATTATCTATATTATCTATATTATCTATATTATCTATATTATCTATATTATCTATATTATCTATATTATCTATATTATCTATATTATCTATATTCTATATTATCTATATTATCTATATTATCTATATTATCTATATATCTATATTATCTATATTATCTATATTACTATATCATATATATTATCTATATTATCTATATATCTATATTATCTATATATCTATATTATCTATATTATCTATATTATCTATATTATCTATATTATCTATATTATCTATATTATCTATATTATCTATATTATCTATATATCTATATATCTATATATCTATATATCTATATATCTATATATCTATATATCTATATATCTATAATATCTATATATAATATATATATATATATATATATATATATATATATATATATATCTATATATATCTATATATATCTATATATATCTATATCTATATATCTATCTATATATATATATATCTATCTATCTATATCTATCTATATATATCTATATGTCTATATGTTTATATATCTATATGTCTATATGTCTATATGTCTATATGTCTATAATATCTATAATATCTATAATATCTATAATATCTATAATATCTATAATATCTATAATATCTATATGTCTATATATCTATATATCTATATATCTATATATATATATCTATCTATATATCTATAAATATATATATATATATATATATATATATATATATATATATATATATATGTATATATACATTTCCTGTCAATATTTATTCCTTTAGAAAAATGTTTCTTTCTTAGGGTTTCTAGTAAATAGAGCACTTTGTACAGATTATAGGGGTAAAACTGCATTATTGGTGCTAGCACAGTTAATAAAATATACATGGTTTGGAGACCATATAATACTATAATACAACTCATTAACTATGTTGAGGCACATTTATGCAAAAAATTGTTCCTTTCGCATCACATGTCTATTGTATTTTGCACAGATAAACCAATAGCAATCTTATAATTAACATATTTTTCAAGTCAAGGTTGATGAGCTTAGCAAGACGAATGCCATTGGTACGTTTGGCTAAAATACAATAGACACGTGACGAGAAAGGAACCATTTTTTGCATAAACGTGGACAATAACATAGTTAATGAGTTGTAATGTACTTTTATTTTGTCTCCAAACCATGTACATTCTATTAACCGTGGTGCTAGGCATATGTATAGCTAACGATATACGTGAATAAGGCTGAGTTTGGAATCATGTACTCTGGGAATCAGTTTGTACTGAAATTCAATAAGATCGGTTTGGTCGTTTTTACCCTTGAAAGGAAGGTGCGGTTTGATTGAAAAATGGCATAGAATGGCATACAAGGCTTTCAAAGCATACAAGGCTTTCATGGCATACAAGGCTTTTATGATTCATGTGATCGTTGTCTGTAAACCCGTTTTAGTGTAGGTTTACCATGATCAGTGTGTGCTAGTGTATGCAGAGTGAGCATATCAAACAAGACAAGACGAGAATCCAGCATTATGATTACCTGTACGTATTTTCTCGAACGACAGACGTCTAGATTTCCTGCGCTATCGGCAATGCACAGCGGCTCGTGTACGTGTTATTTTATATGATGTGTATCGTGCATGCAGTTTCCTGCTTTTGGTTCGCACGACAACAAACTTTTTCAATTTTTGGTTTCAGTAAAATATTTCTTTTGTGGGGGTTACCAGGCTTAGATTACTATTTGAAGTGTGTTTAGCACGAAAATATTTCAATAAGAAATCAAACGAGTTCAAAATACAAGTATCTTAGTTGGCCTGCGTGGCCAGGAAGACCGGGTCGAAAACGTAAAAAACACACAAAAAAAAAACAGACAGCAATTTAAGACTGCGTTCGCACAGTGCGCGATGCAGTAAATAGCCCTGATGTTCAACTAAGCCACCATTTCATTGTTCACTGACTTCAACAAATTGTTACAATCTGATGAGCCAGTGGTACATATAGTTCATGACAAGGTCACTGCACTTGCCAGAACACTTGGAAATCGTATTATTAAAGCAAATGTCATGTAAGACACAGATGTCACTGAAATTGATCTGACAGATCCTGAGATCTTCAAACCAAATAAGTCAATTCATCTTGGTGAAACAACCAAGTTTACCCTGCAAAGGCTTTTAAATCAAGGGGACATTTCTCAAGTAGAGTATGACAATGTCTTCAAAGCTGCAGAAAAGTATTTCAAAGCATCCCTTGAATATATTCTGAAGAAATTTCCAATGACTAATGATGTGCTGTTCCATGCCAAATGGATCAACTCCTAAACGATTAGATGCTGAATGGGAGTGTGTGGAGTTCTTCCTTGCCAAGTTCCAGTCATTTTTTGTCAATATAAACATGGATGCATTATATGATGAATTTTGTGATTACCAGACTTTAAGTGATGGGGACATTGGTAACAAGGCATGGAATGAAGCCAAGGTCATTGATGGTTCAATTGATGATACATATGTATTCCATTACAGAGTAGACATTTTGTGGTGGTATATTGCTCATATGGTAACACCAGGAACAACTACAAGCCGGTTCTATTACCTGCAGAAGGTAGCAGAGCTTGTCTCAGTTTTACCCCATAGTAATGCTGGGGAAGAACAACTTTTCAGTATGGTCTATAAGAACAAGACCGATAGCACATCATCATTAAAGCTTGATTGAACCCATGTATATGTATACATATACCAATACATATATCTATACATATACATATATCTATATATATCTATATATATACATATACATATATCTATATATATCTATATATATACATATACATATATCTATACATATACATATATCTATACGTATACGTATACGTATACGTATACGTATACGTATACGTATACGTATACGTATACATATACATATACATATACATATCTAATCAAACGGCAGTAACTTAACTTTTAAACGTAACGGTAAGTTCGTGACTCAAATGTTTCATCATTCTATTCCTGAAGGAACTTAATGTCTCTGCTTTTCTAACAGAGCCAGGGAGGGAATTCCACAGTTTTGGACTGCGAAAAAGTATTGTGAATTGTTTTATATTAGTTCTACATGCATGAAGTTGGTACAAGTTGACATTTCTAGTGTTATAATTATGGACTTGTTTGTTTGCATTAAATAGATTGAAAAAACAGGGTGGAAGTAAGTTATTATGATAACAGAACATAAATCTTCCAGTGTGTAAGGAGTTTAACTTATAAATATCAAGCAAGTTTAGTTTACTAAAGAGCGGAGCTGTATGAGCAAAAGATGGTGAAAGTGAGAGTAATCTCACAATTCGTTTCTGGAGGATGAAAATGCGTTGTAGGTTAGTTACGTATGTTGACGACCAGACAATATTGCAGTAATTAAGATACGGGTAAATTAAAGTATAATACAATGATAGTTTAGTACTAGGCGACAAATTATAACGAGCTCGAAAAATTACACCCATAGACTTCGAAATTTTATTAGAAACATAGTTAATATGAGGTTTCCATGAAAGATTTTCATTCAGCAGAACACCAAGGAATTTGATCTGTTCTTTTCTGGTGATTAATTTGCCTTCAATTGAGAGAGACAAATCTTGCGTACGTTTCCTTTGTTTAGATTGGAAAATAACATAATTGGTTTTGTTAAAGTTAACGGACAATTTATTAGCCTTCATCCATATGTCGATGTTTAATATCGCATTATTTAATACTGTGACCAAAACTGCAGGATCCGAGTGAGAATAACAGATACTAGTATCATCCGCGAATAATAAAGGCTTTGCCAGTTGTAAGGCATTTGGGAGATCATTTACATATAGGATAAAAAACAATAGACCCAATATTGATCCTTGAAGAACACCACACTGTATAAACTTTTGAGTGGAAAAAACATTATTAAACTGAACAAATTGTTTACGATTTTTAAAATAGCTCTTAATCCAATTTAACGCTACTCCACGAATGCCACACCGTTCGAGTTTAGAGAATAAAATATCATAATTAAGAGTATCAAAAGCTTTGGACAAATCTAAAAAAACACCAGCAGTTATTTCTTTCCTGTCAATAGCAGTTGCAATTTTATTTACCAAATGAATAAGAGCAAAATTGGTAGAATTATTAGAACGGAAACCAAATTGATATGGATAAAAAATTTCAAACTTATCAATAAATTCTACCAAACGGTTATAGAGAACTCTTTCATAAATTTTTGAGAAACTCAATAGGATAGAAATTGGTCTATAATTTGTAAATATATCTGCTTCGCCAGTCTTGAAAATAGGAATTATTTTGGCTATTTTTAGTTTATCTGGAAATATTCCGGTTTCAAGAGACATATTGATTAAATATTTTAATGCATCAGATATTAATTCAAACGACCTTTTGATAAGATGCATAGGTATGTTATCGTGACCGGGTGCCTTGCCATTCTTGAAGGACATACAAATATTTCTTAATTCATTAATGGTGGTTGGCCTGAGGAATATTGTTTCGCTAATGGTAGGCCCTAGA